CTCCCCCACCCCCACTCCACCTCACCCCACCCCACTCCTGGTGTTGGGTGCAGTTATTGCTGGTTGCTCCCTTAAAATGGTTTGGAAAACATTTCATCCACAACACATCTTGTCGTTGCACTTGGCATAGAGCGCAGGAGTAAAAATTAACTGCCAGCCCCAAACATACCAAGTGCAGAAAGAACAGCTTTACACAAATCCCCTCACCTACCCAGAAACCTAGAAAACCTGTTCTGTAACCTTATCATTACCTCTAATAAAACAATGGACACGCGGATGATCATATTTACACAATCACAATGCCTGGAAGTGTTTTTCTCCTATGAAATACTATGTAAAAAGGTGATTCTATCTTTTCCGTATCAGCTAAAAAGTAAAGCAGTTTCATATATTTACTCAGTGCATTTTCAAAAGGATGAATAAACTTTCATAGGGTTCAACAAATATTTATGAAAATTGTAGGAGGAGGTTTTTGGCCTAAGGACACGAAGAACTAAAAGCCACACACTGGTTTCCTTCCCTCTCTGAAAGGTTCCATTCAGCTCTATGTTACTCAGGTTGACCACGGAGAACTGGTTTTCATACCAAACTCATTGCTGCTTAGGAAACAAGAGTATCTGGGATGAATTTATGACACATGAGCTCAGATTTCAGAAATTAGAGTCTAACATTTTTCCTTTGTATTAGCATTATAATCTTTAATTAAAATTTCACCTTTCTATCAAGGCTGACTGGTTGAATGTTCTAAGAAATAGTCGTCTAAATGGAATGTGTAAACAGGGCATTAGAGAAATGTATAAAAGTAGTAGTTTCTTTTCTTAAATAAATGCCAGGTTTAGATGAAAGGAGCTCTTTACAGCCATTTATTGTAATTCGAGGACATGTGTGTGTGGTGGAATTTCTGTGCACACAGGCGGTGGCCCTCCTGGAGTTCTGCTATCAGTCTGACTTCCCCAGGCTCACTGGGATTCCTGAAAAACGATTCAGAGGCCTTTCCAGCAGGCGTTACAATGCACTGCGGAATGGGAGCTGT